GGTGGGCAGGGGAGAGCCAGGCCCAGCTCAGCTGGCTGCCGCCTTCTTTGGGGGCTGCCTCCTCTCCTCCCACTTCACTCCCTCATTTGTCCAGGAGGGTAACTATGATGGCAGAGTCTCAGGGAGTTTCTCTGCCGTGAGCCTGTTGGGGTGGTGCCCGGGGGTGGAGGCCTGGGGAGCGGGCAGGTAAGGGCTGGGCCTGGGGTCCCCAGCACTGACTTGGGCCTGGGTCTCTCCTAGGCCTGGCCCCCCCATCTCTGCACCAGGGCATGGCGCCTGCCTTCCCACCCGGCCTGGGGGGCTCCCTGCCATCAGCCTACCAGTTCGTCAGGGACCCCCAGTCAGGTCAGCTGGTGGTCATTCCCAGCGACCACCTGCCTCACTTTGGTAAGTGGTGGCCTCACCCAGAGGGAGGCCGTCCTGAATGCCGAGGGCCTCCTGCTGGGGGGTCCACCCAGCAGAGCAGCTGCAGGCAGACGGGCTCAGAGAGGACCTTCCGATGCGGTTCCCACGTGTGATGAATCGCAGGGGGTCCTGGGAAAAGCTCCACTGGGATCCACCCAGAACCCACGTGGAGCACCAGAGCAGGGCCCCCTGGGGGGCACGGACACCCCCGCCTCCGTGCCCCCCTTCCTCAGCACCCACTGAGCAGCCCCTGCGAGTAGCGGGGGAAGGGGTGGGAGCCCCATGTTGGCACGCTCCAGCGTGCGGCTGCAGGGACGTCCTCGGCAGCTGTGGACGGCCCCTGGTGAGGGCCCCTCTCTGGCTCGGCTTCCCCATCTGGACGGTGGGGCGGTGGGTGCCAGGTGGGTGCCGCCTCACTGTGTGTCTCGCCCCCAGCGGAGCTGATGGAGCGGGCTGCAGTGCCGCCCCTCTGGCCCGCCCTGTACCCTCCGGGCCGCAGCTCCCTGCACCACGCCCAGCAGCTGCAGCTCTTCTCCCAGCAGCACTTTCTGCGGCAGCAGGAATTCCTGTACCTGCAGCAGCAGGCTGCCCAGGCTCTGGAGCTGCAGCGGAGTGCCCAGCTGGTGGTGAGTTGAGGTGGGGCAGTCACAGGGGTCTGTGGAGGCAGGGGAGACCCCTCCCCCTATCGAGGGTGGGCCACAGAGGTCAACTAGCAGAAACTCCAAACAGTTATGGACCGTGGGGGGGAGAGAAAAAATGAGAGGCTAGTGGTCAGGGAGGGCCTCCTGGAGGAGGTGACATTTACCCAGAGACCTAAAGGAGTAAATTGTGGAGGATCCCCTGGGCAGAGGGCACAGTAGTGTGAGCAAGACCCAGAGGTGGGCAGAGCTCGGCAGGGCTGGGGCACAGGAAGCCATGGCAGGCGAGGTGGCCTTGTGAACTGGGGAAGTTCGATGGGACAGTGAAGGGACCCCAGTGGGCTCCTGCCGTGTCCCCGTGGGCTGCTGGCTGTCCCCTTGATGGCCCTGGACTCTCCTTGGGCTGGGGTTGGCCTCTGACATCCACGTTGCCTAATCCCATAAGATGGGCTCCCCAAGGCCCTCTGCCCTCCTGCCTCCTTGAAGGCAGTCTGGGACATCTGTCCTCTGCTCGGCCTCGTCCCTCCTCCCGCTGCAGCGGCCACTCAGGGGGAGCTGGCAGAGGTGGCCTGGGTTCGAGCCTCTGCTCTGTCACATCTGGCTGTGTGCCCTTGGACACGTGGCTTCACCTCTCTGGGCTTCAAGTTTTCTCCTCTGGAAAAGGGAGCTGCTAGTCTCCTGTCACCTGGTTGCTCAGTGAGGTGGAGGAGCCGTGCGGGCGGCGCTTGGAGCGTTTCTCCCCCGTGTGTTTGTGTGGGGACTGCCCGGCCGCGTGGGCACTGGCTGCCCTGAGCCAGGTCCCTCCCGTTTCCTCATCGGAGGTGGCAGAGGGCTTCCCCGCCCGCCTAGGGGGCCTCGAGGGGACAGGAGACTCGCGGGTAGTGAGCTCTCCGTGCAGGTAGCTATCCTAATGCCGCGAAGCTGCCGGGCGCAGGCGCTCCTTCGTCTTCAGGAGCCTCCCCCCTGCCTGGGCTCCCTTGCCCTCACTGTGAGGGTCCCGGCGGGAGGCCCCAGCTTTGTCTGCTGGGTTCTGTGAGGAATCCTGTGCTTGTTACACGCGCTCTGCGGCGGAATGTCCGCCCTGGGCGGGGGGTGGGGTGGGCGGCCTGCACCCTGGACCCCGCCTGAGGTTCTCTGTGGGCTGGGGCCCTGGGGACCGGGCGATGGTCCCGCGATGCTGACCCTG